CTGAAAAATATCAAAACAACACCGCCACAAGAATTGTGTGTTGTATTTCAAATTTCTATTCTATTTCAACATATTCATCATATTTTTAACACAATGAACACTCATTTCTTATACACGAACTAGCAGCCAGCACTGTTGAACGAAAGGAAGTATCAAAATCATAACTGATCAAATTCTCTGAAATTTATCCTTCTTATTAGTTCAGCCAGCTGTTCTCGACTAGCCAAATCAGGTTCTCAAGCCATAGTTTAAATAGGCGATTTCTAATAGATGGAACTCATAATTTTCGCGTCAATGGATTCCATTGGGCAATTATTCTTTGTTAACACATCAGATAGAAATCAGTTCAAGTCGTATTCCAAAATTGCTNAGTTGATTTATTTTGTGATTGTATACGTTTCATCAACAATGGTCATATTCACCTTCATATTTGCGTGTCATATACAGAATCTTATCTGGTAGCGCTTGGTTGCCAAAGGAAGACATGAATAAAAAGCTTGAAGAAACAATATCCGATGAAATGGTGTGTTCGTTGACGTTTTATTGTAATCTTTTGAACTGTTTTTATCCATTTATAATTGTTTCCTGAGTGTCCCGTAGAGTACTATTGTTCTCTTCGAGACATTTCGGATTTTCAACGTTTCGTTGTGTTTTTTTTTGCTTTTGAAGTGCAGTGTGGTGATTTTAATTTACAAGTAATTTTCAGTATACGAATCTGATAATGGCGTTCGATTATTTATGCTCATTAGCGTTCTCATCAATGGAGCGTGACTTCATATTTGAGTATCGAATGCCAATTGCTAGTGGCGCCGGATCTCGATTGTTTGGACCTGAGGTTTGCTATTGTAATTATAATAGTAATAATATTAGAACTGTAGTACTATTTATAATTATTGTGTTCGTTATTGTGAGTTACGATATTACCACTCCTTTTCCTTGTTCAAAATCAAATAAACCATTCAGATTCCTCAAGTGGAGGTGATTCCCGAGACGAACCGACGTATCGCACGTTCGGAAACAACCGTGAAAACAACCAAAGCCCTCGTAACGGTTTCTGACGCGGGTACAGGCAAATACACTGTGAATGGTCACGGTATCGACGAATTTAGATCACTTCAAGCCAGGTAGGCTCACCTCCATGTGTTGTTTGCCAAATATTATTGAAGGCAAGTGAGGGGACATCAGCAGTTCGATAGATTCTTCAATATCTGATGTAGTATGCTATTATTGATTGTATGATTGATCGGCATTCATGATAAGATGATCTTGGTTGAAGTGTAGTTGATCGAAGATTTTTTCCTCATTCAATAAAATTTCTGTAAGTTAATTTTGAGACAATCGGTACAATTTTAGTGGTGCGATCGCTTGAAAGAGTGCATAGACAGAATGAAATGAATATCTATAGACAAACCTTATTATCCTATCGATTTCAGTTTCGATTTTCAAACAGCAGTTGTATAATTTATGTGACATTTGTGTGCAATCGATTTGAAGTACACTTGCTTCATTCATTCGTTCATCTGTTCATATTTATGAAAAGTATTTAAGAGAGGTATTTTTGGCACCATTGATCGTAGCCGACGTACTCGGAATGGTTGAT